TTTTTATTTTTTCTTACTCGATCTCGTTTTCACATTTCTATTACATAATCACGTGTTTATTCGAATTTCATTTCCTTATTCAGGCGCGGATCCAGGAAATGGAGTTAGAGGGGGCGCCAGAATTAGGCAAGGGGTCTGGGGCCGCCTTGAGGCCCCCTAAGGGTCCTGGGCAAAGCCCTGGTGGGGGTTCAGGGGGCGAAGCCCCATGAAGCTCCTGGATTCTAGGGATTTTGTAGGGTAAAAATGAGGTCTTCCCAATTAGACATATTTACATTTTCTAGACGAAACTGTGATTTACGCTAACTTTGACAATTTTAGGGGGGCGCCGGATGTGCCCCCCTTTAATCCGCCACTGTTATTCGTTCGTCGTCTATTCTATTAATTGTTAGCCAAAAAGTCGACTATTCGTTGACATCTTTAATTTAAGCTTACACACAAAAGAGAAATTCAAATGACTGTACATGTATTTGAATATCTTAACTTTGCTATTTATTTGTAAATATTTATTTATTCGTATCCTGATTTTCATGCATACACAAATATCTTATTTACATGTAATCTCTCCACACAAATCAATATTCTGTAAAGAATATAAAACTTGCTGAATTCATTTAAACTAAAACAATGTTTTGAATGTATAAAAGAATCTTAATCATATTTTAAGGAATTCTCCTGATAGAGCATAGCTTTGATCATGATTCATTTAAAATGTATGTCAATTGAAAAACTCCTCTCTCTTGATATATTTATCAAAATTTGATCAATTGCTCATTCCTCTGACAAAATAAAGGTACGTACATGATAAACTGCCCGTAACGTGATATTAAATTTTTTATTTTCTTTTTGAATGTTATTTGCTTTAATTATTTTATTCATACACAACTGAGGTATTAAAGATCATTTCATTCCAAGAAAAAAGGCACTTGTGACGCGTTTATCAGTGAACAATTAATAGTATTTAGCATTGAACCAGCAGCTGGGAAAGGGATTCTACTTTTTGTACCGCTTGAACTAGGAATATATAATATATGTTTTGGAAATTTCACCAACAGCCACAATTTTGTTTCTAACTGATCACCTCCAGAACTGTAAACAGAGAGGGCCCTTTTTCGGACTTTTCTGCTTCTTCCCTTTGTTTTTCGTTATATTCGTCTGTATAGCTTTTGCCTTCTTTGTGTGATTTCCTTACTTCCTGAAAAGTTTTTTAAATGTGTAAAATCTGTAGAAGTAACCTAAAAATAAAAGTAAACTACTAGTATACACCTTACAACAACTTACCCTTCGAAGACCTAGAGTGTTTTCAATGAGACGAAACTGTAGACTTTGAAATCCAGATCCACTTCGCAGGTATTTTCTTCAAAACCAAAAACGTTAAAAGAGTACTATTTTTTTTCGATTAAAAAAAATAAATTATTTTGTTTATAAAACAGTCCTTATAAAATAAGTGATCATTGCGATCGTTTTATTTTTACGACGTTCGATCCTGATATTCAAAGTCTTAAACTTTTTTTGTTAAGTATATTTTTAGTTTCTACATACGAAGCTTAATTAAAATTCAAACCAAAAAATGGGGATCAATATGCTTCTTTTGGTGCTACAGTATATTTCATATGACCTTTTTTGCACTGAAATCTGTGTATTAATTAAAAATTACATCTTCGACGTTTTCCCTCCAATATTTTATCCAATTAAAGCATGAAACAAAATGAACTCTAAGTCTAGTCTAGAAAAGACACGTTAAGTTTCAATTTGTTTTGCATAATCAATTATTTGACCTTTCTGCACTGAGAAAAATTATTTTAAAGTCATAAACTCTTTTTGAATTTAAGCAAATAGGTCAAAGTTATCTTAAATATTTAGAAAAGAACATCAAAAGTGGAAGTATATGATGTAAATTTTCAAATAATACTAAAAAAGTGTAAATGTTTGGGTTAAAATTGGCTCAATTTTTTCCGGATTTTCAGAATATATTGAAGATATTTGTCGTACTTCGTTGAAAGAATTCATAAAAAATGATTTGATAGATATTTCAGAACCAGCATAACATATTTCACTTAGAAAAACAGCTTTGTATGCAACCAGCAAGGAAAAATAGGAATTTAAAATTCACAGTACTGATTTAGTTCAAATGGGAAAAAACGGATCAGTTTCTTCTAAAAAAAAAAACCTTCTGCCACAAAATATAGTTCCTGGTTTAATTCTACTTGAATGGTATTTAATAGCGTTTTTTTTCATTAAATTCTACAATTTAATTTGCCTTGTAGAATCCAGAATTAATGCTAGAACTTAAAAATGATGCAGAATTTTTTTTAATAAAGGACAGGACCAAAATCCGCTCATAGGCTCAGGATCGAAAGTCCTTAAGCAATAGCATAGGAATTAATTCATATGTATATGTACATGTATATTTGGGGTATGGTTAATATATATTCTCCTACCATGGTGAATATGTATCGTCGATGAAAACGCAATTCTCTTGATGATATTCAGTTAGAAAACTACTTTTTGACATTTTAATTTTATATATACATATATTGACAATTCTATTATTTAAGATATATAATATTAAGGAACAATTTATCACCGAGATTTTCAATCACTTACCTAAAGTTAAGAAAAATGGCTGGAGGCATCGTTTCAATTATTTCAAAATGACCAATGATCAGCTATAAGGAAAAAAGCCGATACAAATACTGAAATTAATCCTTTTTTTTCTCTCTTTTATTTTAGAATTACAGTTTTAGTCCAAACGTGATCTTTATGCATAAAACAAACTGATAACATTTAAATAAGTTTACAGATAGAAATATAAATTTTTGCAAAAAGGAGAATGCTTAACAATTTGAGATCTAAGACTTTTCGTTCGTGTGCATGCCTTAGGTGTAAAAACTTTTTTAAAAATGTAAAATAAATTGAAAAGTACACTCTGGCCAGGCTAAATGGGTCACCCTGTAACCTTAAACATTTTTATTATATCACAATAAGATACGTACGTTAACATATTTCTAACTCTGACAAAAATTATTCCTATGGATATTTCAGGTGAACTTACAGCATAACAGAGAACAAATGAAACATTATGGACAAATTGAGCAAGGTTGTGAAAACATTGTACGTGTACGACTTTTTGGGACAACTCTTCTATTTGGGCGAAATTTTATACCAATGGCTATACTTTCGTATGAATACTTTATTTCACTAGTGAATAATCCGTCTTCCTGATCATTAAATAGAGCTGTGTGTAACCGGTTCACAGGGATTGCTTACTACTCCTTTGCACCTGATCCCACCTCTGTCTTTCACTGCAAATGAACTCAGACTCACTGGAGATCATAACTGGTTATTTCATGTTGACAAATAAAAGGTATCTTATGGAAACAAAATTTGGAATGAAATTTAAAGTTATTTAGTTATGGGAAAAATTTGGGTGACAAAAATTTTTATTATATGCTAAAAAATAGTGTATTTTTTTTTATAATCAATTAATACATGCGAAGAGAAGTCTTTAAAAAAAGACTAGTGATATTCTTGTTTCTTCCCCCTGTTTTTGTAAGCCTGATATGTAATAATCATCTTAGGAATGGAATCAAGAGTATATAGCCTCAAAAACAAAGAAAGTTGACGATATTATGGTCTAAGTAATTGCGTTTATTTCAAAGTTACATTTTAAGGGACCATTGACGTTTCTTCAAGTCTGATCAAGGACAAAGTAGATTATACAGATAGGCCGCTGTGATTCTACATAGAAGGTAAGAAATTTTACAATGATAAAAAGAATCAACATTTCAAAACATGAAATTAATACTGTTAATATCCAGATTCAATACCTTTTGAATAAGAATGATCCGTCCTAGTTTTGTTGGTATTTCAGCAAAATCTCTTTTACTTACATCCTAAAGGTTTTAACATTCTGGATTAATACCAAACATAAAAATACTGTACTGGCCTTTCGCTAAAGTATACATTCCTAAGCTTTGTTTATTTTACCTAACGTTGAAAGCAGAAAAATTGAAAATCTTAAATAACTTTGAAATTATCATCAAACATTTTCTGAATAATAATATACATGTATTGCTTAGGGTATGAGAGAGAAGAAGTTCCAAAATTTCATAGATTTTATTCGATTTTTTTTAGATTCTAACAAAATTGTAGAATAAACTTACAAGTGCTTGAATTTTGTCTACAACTGAATGGAGGTCTACAAGGATTTGTTTAAACCAGAGCTCAAACGCTGAAAAAAAAAAGATTAAGAACACAGAATTTACAATACTGAATTTTGTCAGTGTTTTTATCTGTGTTGAAAATATGTACGAATGAGACTTATTTGCTATGCTAACAATATGGATTTACTTTTCAACACAGTAATTAGTTTATTACAAAACTAGTTACATTGTTGTACAATTGAAATTGTTATTTTAAGCAATCTTTAATCAGATTTAAAATGATGCCCCTATGATACTGCTTGTCAGGTGGAAAATTGAGAGTCGGACCTTGGTGGACAATGATAAAAAGGTGTTCTTCGTCGACTTTATTCCCAGCCTTTTCACTCTCCAGTTCCTGACATTGGAGCAATTTATCTAACTAAAATGATAAAAAAAATTGTATTTTTTGTATTATTACAGTAAATGAAAGAAATAAGCTTCAGGGTTTCGAGCACACACAGTCCCATTCTTTGAATTTTAGAGTTATTAAAAAAGGACTAAACTTTTTGATAATAACTACTAGTATGTCTTATTGCAACACACTTACTCCAAGATAACTATCATATGTTAATTCTCTGTCTGACATGTCTGAAAAGAAAGGAAAAAGATTCTTGAAAAAGTATTCAGTTATAGTGTTGGTCATTTTGACTATCATAATTGTACTAAAACCTTCGTGGACATACAACAGTTTTGCACAAGAATTAAAAAATGCAACAATGATATTTACAGATACGTATAATAATCTTCAAAGAACATTCATTTAAATTCTGTTACGTTGCAGTAATACAGATCCGCGAACATTTTAAACTCACAGAGTTTTTAGCAAAAATTAAAGTCTAATTGTTATGCTGCGAAAGTGTGTAACGAAGCTACAAAATGTGTTTTAAAGGGAGTTCTATCTTAATTTTAAGTTTATTTCATTAACGTATAATATAATTCACACATAACAATTTGTAGGATTTAGATAACACTTTAGGTAAAAAAAATATTTTAAAAAAAAATCCAAATGTGTTTACGGACCTCAAAAATATTAGAGTTGAGCAGCCCCTACCGACCGGTCACAATATACCTCATATCATTTATCTATAAAGTCCGATTTAAGATTGGTTTTGAAACTTAAGATAATGCATTAAAGAATACCACTAGGTACCTTGACATGAGATAAGTCATATATATTAGGGTTACGCCTCGTGGGGTCCAATTGTCTATGAAGTTGAAATTGTTGAGGGCTATATGGTTACTATATAGCGTTTCGTAAATTATTTGGATTTAATATATTTTTAAAAATCCTTGAATTTTTTGACGATGTTGGCTCCTGATATTAAAGTCTTAAATTTTTTGGCAAATTTATTTTTATTTTCTACACACATGGCTTAGGTAAAAATCAAATCCAAATATGGAGGTCAATGTGCTTCTTTTCGCGCTACAGTTCATTCAAAATGACCTTTTTGCACTGAATTTTGTGTTTAAATCAGTAATTACATCTTCAACCTTTTCCCTCCAATATTTTTATCTAAATACAGCATGGAACAAAACAAACTATAAGTCTATTAAAAACGACACTTTAAAATTGTGACTAAGATAAAGTTTTGAATTGCTATTCATAATCATTTATTTGACCTTCAGCACTCACGAAATGTGATTTTTCTTGCATTCAAAATTAAATGAGCAAGAAAATTATTTTAAAGTCTAAAACTTTTGCTGAATTTACGCAGATACATGAAGGTCAATGTTATCTTAAATATTCAGAAAAGAACACCAAAAATTGGGGTTTATGATGTTAATCTTTTGATATTTCTTAAATGTGTAAATTTTATGTTAAAATTGGCTCAATTTTCTCTTGAACTTTTAGAATGTATTTACTATATTTGCCATAATTCGTCGTAAGAATTAATTCATATTCATAAGAAATAATTTAATACATATTTCAGAACAGACATAACACATTTCACTTAAAAAAAAAAACAGCTTTGTATTCAACCAGCATGGAAAAATAGGAATCTGAAATTAACAGTACTGCATATAATTCAAAAAAGAAAAATTGATAACTTTCTTCTAAAAAAAACTTCCCCACAAAATATAGGTCCTGGCTTAATCCTCTTGAAGGGAATATAATTCCAGTTTTTGCAATTAATATAGCTTAATTTGCATCGTAGAATCTAAATTCAATGTTTAAACTTAAAAATGATGCAGAATTATATAAATAAAGGTCCAGACCAAAATCGACTTAAAAGCTCAGGATCAAACGTCCTTAAGTATCCACATTCGATTTAGACCACTGCTGGAATATATTATTGAACAGTACTCTTGAAGTTTCTCCTCACAACTTTTAATATCTTAATGAGGAGTATTGAAAGGGTCTTCATAGAACATAGCTGGATTAGCTATGTATTTGTCAGGATTTCAATATTCTTGCTTTTTGCTGGTGATGTATGAGGATTTTAAAACAATTATGATAACGGGTCCTGAATATATGGATTCCCGATCTTTCAATGGGCGGCAAAACTCCATAGTTCTGTCTAAGTTATTCCAGAAAAGAAAAGCCATTTAACTTTTTTTTTAAAACTCAAATTAAACATTTCAATACTTCCTCTTGTTTTCCATGCAAACTGTGTAGGTGAAGTGTTTCCATTAATTATCCCATAGAATTTATTCAACCATGATATATTTTCTTTGGATTAACAAACCAATAATACATATGTTTTCTTTTGGATATTTTTTTCCAAAATTGATATGAAATGAAACATATAGAGAAAACGTCCATTTTAAGTCCATAAGCCAATAAAGAATAGGAACAGAGCGAACACGGACCAAAACATCATTGGTGGGATCAAGGGCCATGGAGAAGTGAGCATCCCTTGCCGACCGGTAACACCCGCCATGTGTTCCTTAACATCATTGGGAAATAACTAAAAAATCCGTTGTCAATTCAGTGTATATATAATTGACTAACAATAAATATGAAAAGTGGCAGTCAGTATTTGACCCAATGATAATCTGTATTGCATTTGAATAGTCGACTGTTTTACCTAAAATGATTTTAAGAATCTATCAAAATTTTACCAAGAATACGATTTCCATAACCTTTTTTGTAGAGAGGACCTATATAGATTAATTTTTTTCTATGGCTTCATTTTTCTTTATAAATATTTGCTTTGATTTGTTATAAAGCTACATGTATCTTCAATGGTTTTAAACAATTATTTTATTATTAATTTTATTTGAAATTAAAAAGCTTACTCATTAAATAATACATTGATATTTAGAAAAAAAATTACAAATTCTAAAAGAAAATCAAATGATTCATTAATTAAATGCAAGAAACTTTTGTTCGATAGCAATATGTAATTTCAAAATACTTAAAAACATGCTTACATGTAGATGAAATAATAAGAAAAGATAAAGACCTGCAACATATGGAAAGCCAACGGGTTCAAAATTCCAACTCTGTAATTCTTTATATGTACACATGTAAACCTGAATTTGTAAATTGCAAATCTTAATTTCATAATCTGTCAATTGTTTTTTCACAATTTGTTAGTTGTAGATATCCATGCGTTATTTGACAATGTAAATGCAAGTTTTGTCGATGCTCTCGTGTAATTCGTAGACTTACGATTTGTCATCTTCGCTGACGATTTGTGAACTTGTGGAATGTAATTGCACTTGCGTGATTTGTAAATTATACAAGGTTGCATTATGCTAGCACCTATTAAGACGAAAGGGGGTGCAGAAGGATAAAACGTACGCTCAACTTGGACCTCAGGTCCCCCGCAAATAGTTCGTCATTTTGCGTAGTAATAAAACATTTTAGGAACTCTTCAGGCATTAAAGGTACAAAAGAGGTAACTTTATATTGTAAATCTGTAGGGTTCCAGAGTTTATCTTATATTGTTCATCAGAAGGGAGACCAGAGGTCTAGAGAGACTAGAAGTTACCTTATATTGAACACCAGTAGGAAAACTAGAGGTGACCTGATTTTGTAAATCAGTAGGGGGAACAGAGGTCACCTTATATTGAACAATAATAAGGAGACAAGAGGTCATCTTACATTGTAAATCAGTAGATGGACCAGAGGTCACCTTATATTTAACATCAATAAGGAGACCAGAGGTCACCTTATATTGTACATCAATAGGGTGACCAGAGGTCACCTTAGATTGTACATCAATAAGAAGTCTAGAGGTCATCCTATATTGTACATAAGTCAGAGGACCAGAGGTCACTTTATATTGTACATCAGTAAGTGGACCAGAGGTTACTTTATATTGTACATTAGTAGGGGACTAGAGGCCACCTTATATTGTACATCAGTAGGGTGACCAGATATCACCTTAGATTGTACATCAGTAGGGGGACCAGAGGTCACTTTATATCGATCATCAATAAGGAGACGAGAGGTCATCTTATATTGTACATCAGTAGGGGGATTAGAGGTCACCTAATATTGTACATCAGTAAGGGGGAAAAGAGGACAACTTATATTGTACATCAGAAGGGGGATCAGAGGTCACCTTATAATGTACATCACTAGAGGGACTAGAGGTTACCTTATGTTGTAAACCAGTTGGGGGATCAGAGGCTATCTTATATTGTTCATCAGTAGGGAAACCAGATGTTACAATATATTGAACATCAAGAAGGAGACCAGAGATCACCTTATATTGTACATCACTAGAGGGACTAGAGGTCAACTTATATTGAACACCACTAGGAAAACTGCAGGTGAGCTGATTTTGTAAATCAGTAGGGGGACCAGAGGTCACCTTATATTGTACATCAGTACGGGGACCAGAGGACACCTTATATTGTACAATAATAAGGAGACAAGAGGTCACCTTACATTGTAAATCAGTAGATGGACCAGAGGTCACCTTATGTTTAACATCAATAAGGACACCAGAGGTTACCTTATATTGTACATCAATAAGGTGACCAGAGGTCAACTCAGATTGTACATCAATAAGAAGTCTAGAGGTCATCCTATATTGTACATAAGTCGGAGGACCAGAGGTCACTTTATATTGTACATCAGAAAGTGGACTAGAGGTTACCTTATATTGTACATTAGTAGTGGGACTAGAGGTCACCTTATATTGTACATCAGCAGGGGGACCAGAGGTCACCTTATATTGTACATCAGTAGGCGGACCAGAGGTCACCTTATATTGTACATTAGTAGTGGGACTAGAGGTCACCTTATATTGTACATCAGTAGGGGGACCAGAGATTACCTTAGATTGTACATCAGCAGGGGGACCAGAGGTCACCTTATATTGTACATCAGTAGGGGACCAGAGGTAACCTTATATTGTTCCTCAGTAGGGGGACCAGAGGTCACCTTATATGAGGGCTGTTCAACAGATAATGTCCTCGTGCTCGGAAAGAAACAAAATGCGCTTTTCAATAATTTAGTCATAATGATTTAACCTAATATTATCTTTTAATTAAAACATACGTCTCTAACATTTTTCAACCAATTTCTGATCGTTTTTTAGAACTCATTTTTGGGTATGACTTTTTGTATACCCCGTAACTGGATTATAGCAGATCCTATGATTTCCTTGGGTTGTTTCTTCCCTTTTAAAGGCGTTTTTTCAAGTTTGGAAAATGATGAAACAAGTCAGAATGCGAAAAATCTGGCGAATATTGTTAATGCAAAAGAACATTAACTTTATGTTTATCCCCAAGACTCTTTTACTCTTCAGGGCGTGCGGGTAAGGACGCGGTCATGAAAAAATCTAATAATTGTTGAGATATTCTTACACGCAGTCATTTTCACTCATTTTTTAAGACATAGGGTGACTTTTGAGTACTAAGCTTTCTTTTGTTTTTTACTGTCAAACGTTTTTTAAAGCAGTGTGAACTACTCCCGAAATGATGTCTATCAAATTTGCTATGTGTCGTATAATCAATCATATAACATCAGTGATTATTTGTTGAAATTTGGCAAACAATACATTCGTTTAAGTTTTTTTTTTTGTTTTTTTTTTGTTTTTTTGTTTTCAAGAACAGTTTCCATTTTTGATGCCCATTATATATATAATTTTTTATCATTGAAATCCACCTGCTCAATTGTCTATAAAACAGACATTGATTGCTGTAAAGAGGTAGGGGCTCCATGTGCGAAAATCGGCCCCAAATTTTTCGAATTTTCAAAGCTAGTTAATAAAATCGACTTTACTTATATTTCACAGTTTACCATCATTGCATTCCACAAATAGCAAAAGTTCGGGAGATTGACTACTTATGACGTCATATTTGTGACGTAAACCTGACGTAATTTGGCAAAAATCATCAAAATCTCATAATTTTTGCCATAAATTGATTAAAAAAAATACCTCCGCACACACCCACCAAAACAAAATTTCTTGTAAATGTTCATTATTAACAAATCTATCAACAATTGAAGTATCGTATTGGTGGAGGCCTGCGGAGTATGAAAAATCGATCGATGAACGAAAAGCTTTCCTGTCATTCCAAGTAATCAATTATCATAATTTACATCAATATAATTTCCAATGGATATGATATTGTGTTTTTATATCACCGTACATATTTTACATATATCTACTAATAAATGTAAGAAATTGTTATCAATTTAGGACATGGTAGCTGAAATATGCTGTGATTTTGGGTATAATAATTCCAAATCAGTCCGAATTTTGCTACACTCACGCAGTCATTTACCTTATATACCGCTGTACCTCGCATTACACATGCACACCTGTGTCAATCCAACCTTTATTTTTAAACAGAATGGATTGTGAATATTACATGCAACAATAAAAAGGCATAATGTATTAATTAAACTCTAGCTTCAACAATATCATTCATAATTTGCTATCCTTTTCGAAAATCAACTCGTATGAAAACGATGCATTGGACTTCCCATCGAAGTCGTGACGTTTTTGCCTAATCAGTTGTGAATTGTTGATGGATAAAACATAATGAATTAGGTTACGATAGAATGAACTTCCAAGAACATTACATGTATCTGTTTGATAACACCTAAAAATATACAAAGTTATGACTGCTATTGTACCCCACTCCCTACAGTTTGGTATTATCTATTTTCGAATCACGTGTACAAGACTGCAGCTGAATTAATTGCTCATTCTGCACACACAATTTATTTATGTACAATGTTCTATACGTGTAATAAATTAATTAATATTGGTTTCTTTAAATGCAACTTAAAGGGTATGTAAGTAACATTTTTATAAAACAAAGCGAAAACTATTCCAAAGTCAAAACCGGGTTAATATCGGTCAGCGTCAATCATGTAAATACCACCGCCCCCCCCCCCCCCCTTCTTTCTAATGCGCCGATTTGTCGAAGATATCTTGTTCTATTATATGAATATGATTTTTTTGTCAACTGGGACAACTGGCTTTCATATATTAAATATACTGAATTCTGCATCTTAATAAGTATTATATAACATTCACAGTTAAAATAAAAAAGATGATTCGAAATAAAATGAATGTACCTGTAAATATTTGATCCACACACCACATTACAATTCTGCGTGTAGTTAGTCTTTCATAAAAAAACTTAAGTAAACAGCGCAACAATTGATCACAATTAAAACAAAATGACAGTAAATCAGCATGTGCTTTTCTGTTTATAAAAAAGAAATTAAAAAGTAATTTGAGCGGAAATAAATTGGATGCCGTGGAACCCTCCTCGAAAACAGATAAACCTCTATGTGAAATGACTATGAAAAGTCAATCATTGAATGTGGTATAAGTGATTGTTGATTGAATGTTGTTTACATTAACCATTTGGAAATAGTTTATACTTAAAATAAAAGATAACAGTGAAATTTCATAGGTAAAAAAAAATAAACTTTCGCGAATAAACGCGTAACTTTCGCGTTATAACGCGAAACTTTCGCGAATAAACGCGTTACTTTTGCATTATAACGCGAAACTTTCGCGAATAAACGCGTTACTTTCGCGAATAAACGCGTTACTTTCGCGTTATAACGCGAAACTTTCGCGATATAACGCGTAACTTTCGCGTCATAACGCGAAACTTTTGCTGTTTAACGAGACATTTGCTTTAGTCTCAACGTTCTTTTGATTTTGTCATCAATTTTATTCATTTAATACAATAATAATCAAAAGGCTATTTTGATCTTGGACTATCACAAGTTAAATTTTAAGCTTTCTTGCTATTGAATCCATCTTAACCGTCACAATTTGTCTTTCTCAACGCTGTTCAACCAATTCAAAGTTTATGCGAGTTCCAAAAGTTAAACTTCAAGCTTATTTATTTCGGGGAAAATCACCCCTTTTCCTTTTTTTTATGCACTCTCTAGAGAATTTGAAATAATTTTATTCTATAGAGATCAAAATTTCAGAAAATTGTCAAAATGAGGTAAATTTGTCAATTGTGTTCCACCGCATTTGTGAAAATTGGATAGCAGATTTTCATTTGTCTCCTTTAGATTCACTGTGGAAATTAGATATCCTATTTTGAGGTTGCACCACGTTTTCATTCTATTGCTTACGAAAACATTGACAATTCAAAGTGTACAAACTCTGCTGTATACCTTCATAGTTTTTATTTATGGCTAGTCCACGAACTTCTCTATAACCCAATATTGGAGACAATGAAATTATACATTGTTCATTCACTTTTAAGTTATGTTTCTACAGTGTATAATTTTTTGTCCAAAATGATTGATTGCTTAATTTACTAGTGGTACAGTTGAAGTAAATGTTACTGATTAAAAAACAGCTAGAAAAAATGTCAAATGGAGATTTTCCTTAAGAAATAATCAGTCTAAAGAATTTAACAATTGAAAAACATGTACAAGAAAGTAAAATTCATTTTATTAATTCAATAGTAAGATTTTTAAAATAAAATAAAACATTCTGATGACTAATCTATCCTATTCTAGCATAATATTTTTTCGCAATATAACGCGAAAGTTACGCGTTTATTCGCGAAAGTTTCGCGTTATATCGTGAAAGTTACGCGTTTATTCGCGAAAATTTCGCGTTATAACGGGAAAGTTACGCGTTATATCGCGAAA